TCTCCAAGAAGCAGACCTTGTTGAACTTTGAACGTGTTGAGCTTCCATTATGTATAGTTTGGCCAGCTAGCCTGCCATGCGCTGCAGGGTGCTGAGTCTGCGCTCAAAATGGGCCTAATGCAGTTGACAGATACAGGATTGGCGGTGAACGGGCAGCAAGCTTGCTTACAGTCCTACATTTCGGTAGGTGACTTCAGCTTCTTCTGTCAGGCTACTGTCGTGCCAATTCATCCATCGTTGTCCTTGGTGCCCAGGCCCTAGATGTTACCTTATGATACATGATCACCGTGATTAGCGGACAGGATGTGCCACAATTCGGGTTAGCACGGTGTTTGGCTGCCGATGTTCGTTTGCACAGGCTGCTCGGAGAATCTTGTGGACTCAATCGAGGGTGTGTCAACCGACTTTGGCCTCCCGAAGGTGGGAGCGAGCCAAACGGGTTGGCATCTTTGCAGCGTCGAGCTTATGGGAACATGGGTGTGGCTCAAAATTGAACAGGAGGGGCAAACCGCAGGTTTTGGTCCATGTGTCCACTTACCGGGGCTCCATTTTGGTACCGGTTTTTTGAGCCACAGCCACATAACAATCTTGAGTATACTGCACTTATCACCAATTGAATCCTGTCATCTCAAGGGTGATGAGGCGAATCATGACACAGGGACCCTGAAAAAATCGGCTGAGACGCCTATGTAAAGATTCAAGACTGCCACTCCTTGTACAAGTCACCCCTTTAGCGTCAAAGATCCACTCCCTGTTTCGTGAGCAAGGACCCAGGAAGGTGAGCGATCTAGCGATCTAGTTCTTTCTGTCCCCCCCCCCTGTTCGCTCTTGCTGTAGCAGCCATTGAAAGCTGGTGCAAAGACCCTATCTGTGAAGGCCGTTGATCCGAACTCAACGCTGCGCCTTTTGGCACCCCGCAAGGAACAAGCAACAGATGCAGGGCGCCTTCCATATTTAGTGGTTATCCAACTTGCTCATTTCGGAGCCCACGGTGCAAACCCGCTTACATATCTCCCAACGCCTCAACATTTGCAACTCGATTCTTTCCGCGATTTCAGCAGATTGTTGTCAACGGCACGTTTGTGTTTGACTCACTGCCATGGCCTAATGCCAGTCTGCTCCGGGTCTCTTTGTCTTGTTCCCAGCTGTTTTCAGTAGCGAGGGTGAGAATCTCCAGCGATGGAGCCATCACCCCAAGCAGCCCAAGCCGCCAGAGCCCGAAAATGCGAAAGCTAGCAGACACAAACCAAAAGAAGGGCCCGCGAACCTTGAACACAGACATGGTGCATGGTGCAGCATGGTGCATGGTACATGGTACGCGTGAGTGACTTGAGGCCTTCATCGGGGTGATTCTGCTGCCCATCGTGGGCAACGCGGCGGAGCACGCCACCGCGGTGACCTCCGCCTACCGAGGGAAGCTGGACCTCGCCATCGGGGTGTCCGTGGGCTCCTCCACGCAGATCTCCCTCTTCGTGGTGCCAGTGCCTTGGATCGGGTGGGATACGGGCCCAGAATATCGGGCCACATGGGTGTGTCGTTTTTGGGAGCCATGTTGCTTGGTTTGAAAGGAAACCAAATGGCAACCCAGCATCGCTTGTGGGGGTCTCCCATTGCGAGCCAGACTGTGGCGGGATGGCGAGGGGGGGCGGCGGTTGTGGATGGGGCAGATGGCAGGGGCAGCAGGGAATGGCGAGGGCTGGGTTTGGGCAGCCTGAATCAATTTGTGGCATTGGCTCAGGCCTTCAATCAACGCCAATCAACAATAAAGACTTAAAGAGTCCAACTCTTTGAGAATGCGTGCTGACCAGAGACACTCTGCAACGTCAGCCTGCTCAAAGCAGTGTAAGTAAGTACGATGATTAAGGCACAGCAGGCAAGTGTGGTGTAGCCACCGCAGAACTGAACGGAGGCTAACAGCTAGATTGGCTATTCACTGGGGCTCGAATTGCAAGCAGTCTGCTGGTGGGCACGTGAGGGCAGTGACATGATGTTGCTTGTGCTTGTTTTGCTTCATGGAACAGAGAGCTTGAATTGATTGATGTTTGATGCGTTGCTTAGAGGATCCTGACCCAGCCGCGCTTTCTTTTGAGGTTGCAGTCCTCTCGGGCTGGTACTACGGGACACCGATGTCGCTGAACTTTAGGATGTTCGACACTGCTTGCCAGATGCTGAGCGCTACTTGGCTCGTTGATGTCACGCCCAGATGGGTGGAGTTCGTTCAATGCATCCTCAAGTTGAAAGAGGCTGGGTCGGTTGACTGGTGATTCAAGACCAACTCATGAGCTTTCGACAACACGTTTTAGATAGCTGTGTTCACAACCTTGAACTATCAGCGATTTAAAGTTTTGCATGTTGTGTATATTATGAATAAGATCATATTTGTTACCATTATGATTACAACTTGTTCCTAATATACACTCATTTCAATTCAATATGTATAAGGCGAACACATAATATATATATATACACACATGGCAGTTTGCTTGACCAAATGTTCCCCATGTTCAGCGGCTGCTTGTGAACCGTCCTTCCAGCAAAGTGGCAATTTTCGACCGAAGTTTTGAACGCTGGCCCCATGCCAGCTACCTAGATTCCTGGCTTCCAAGTCATTTGGAAAGCTTGTAGCCTAGCTGCAAACTAGTTGGACAAAGTTACTTTGCAAGATTGCATACTGCTCCGTTCCCGTGGTTGCAATTGAAACAATACTAGTAACAATACATGTGCAACGAGAAAGCTCGTTTCACTCAACAACCAGAGGTGCGACAGCTGCCATTATTTGACATGCAGCACCGCATGTCCGCAATTTTGGTGACATGCCTGGGCCCTTCCTGGAAAGAAGTCACCGTATACGATGCCCGCATGCTGTTCAAAGCCCTTCACCAACGCAGCAGTCGACCATAAGATCATCCAAGGATGTCTTTGTAATTTATCCACGGTTGAGTACTGACTGTGTCATCAGTGCTCGCACTTGCTGCACATGTCTCCAAGGTCTTTCTGGTCTCGCAAGTCACACAGCACGGCAACACCAACTGGCTGCACGGCGCGATGTTGGTGACAACCTACGCGCCTTTGTGATAATGGCGCTGCCCATCCCCCAGCAATTTGGTTTTGGTGAACGCTCTACTTCACTGTTTAAAACAATAATTTGATAAGTGAGAGTCGAGGTTGGCTTGGTATTTGCAGCCTGACTTTGACATATCAAGCGATCTATTTCGTGCTGTGTGAGGACGTTCCCTAAGGACGTCGAAATAAAGGCTCGCAGTGCCAACTGCCAACCATGCAGATAGTGAAAATCAATCAGCAGTGTGCTTTCTTTGCAGCGTTCAAACAACAGACCAACAAAGTGACTTCCTCCTGGAAGGACTCCCTTGCCTTTCCTGCCTTTTGCTTGACGGCATGCAGGTAGCTGGATTCTTCGCTGGCACAAGGGACGACAAGGCAATATAGCCTTAGTCACTTAGTCATGTGTGGAGCAGTTTAGCTGTGTGCAGAGCCCCCAGCGCATGTGCTCGACGGTTGTTTCTGGAGCCTGAGAAGGACCGCCTGATGGACACTGTCCATGCGTTCGATTTATGCAGTGTCCCTGCAGCGTGAGCAGGAAAACTGCCCAGGTGCTCATTGGGATTATGACCTGGTTCATTCCAGAGACAACGTGACACTCGGAGCACTTCTGAATCCCTGAACAGCCGAAAATGCTTGGGTCAGTTCGGCTATGAAAACTCACAGCCGTGACCCTGAACATCCTTGTACAGAATGGACAGTCACTCAGCCAAGCTTCAGATGCCCACGAAAGCAGTTGTCAGTTTGTTGCAACGGGCGGACGTGAGCCATGGTCGAAGGCCAGCTTGTCAACTTGGTGTTTGCTGGAGATGAGCATCAGCGAGAGAATGGTGTCAGATAAGCATTGCATGAGGATCCAGACCATGGGTGATGACAATCTCTGAAAGGATTCATGACTCATTGCATGTTCAGCAACAGCATAGAGCCACCCTTCTGAGCCCGATATGAAAAGAAGATATGTTCCTGGTTCCCTTCCTGGCTGTCCCAGTCCCAGTACATGGATGTGCCCACCTGGGCCTGAAATTAATCAGCCCATTGATCGCCTATGGGGTTTCACTCGCCCGAATCACCTGCACCAAACATACACACGCAGACACCTGGCGGCCAAATCCAGGCACTGATTGAATTTGCTGTTCTGTTTGAGGACCTGTGTCAGAATATGTTTTGCCTGTAGGCAAGCGACAACGCGGGCCAAGACACCACGTTTCACCATTGCTCCACTCTTGACGGTGTTGCCATCGCGCCGCCTGTCAGTTCAGCGAGCGTTCCATCTGCTGCAAAGGCTCAGCGGTCTGTGTATCTGAAAAGCGGCTCAGGGGTCAGCGGGTAAGTCATCGGAATGTCAAAGTTTGGATGTTGTAAGTTAGCATTAATATGCAGAACAAGTCGCAGAATCCTCAACCCAAATAAAAAGGCAAGAGCATGATAAAGGGTTGATCATTTTGAGCACACCTAGATGCCAGAGGTTGTAGGAAGAGTGGTGGAGATCGGGAAAAACCGGAGAATAGTTGTTGAGCACTTCCCAGCAGTTCTCCGGTTCTCAGTTGTCCATTTCTTTGCTCAGTGAGTGATTTGGATTCCAATTCTAATTTACGTGTGTTGAGCATTATGGTAAGCAAAGATGGCACAGCGTTCCCTGTTGCTTCCCACTTCTCCGGCATTGGCCCTCTCTTTGCTGTGTGAAGTTAGGCCATAGGTTGATACGTTTCCATGCTGCCCATGGGAGAATTTCTGTACCATCGAGACTTCGCTTCAGGGGCCGGATGCAGCCTGCGGGCCAAAACTGTCGTTGCAGGCGTTTCAGTTTTGGGATGAGGCCTTGTCGAACGTGCCTGAGTTGCAGAGGCGCAAGCCGTTCCAGGCAGCACGCCCTTACCTTGTTCAGTCGCCCTGCAGTCTTTGCGCGGCATTGGACGTGGTGTAAGATGAATTTGCCTCAGGTCGGCGCTCGCATCCCAGGCACGGCAGCCCAGAAGCATTCAGGGATGCTTGTTGTTTGGCTGAAGGCCCCTCTCGGATCGTGCTAGATCGTACACTTTTCTCATGCTTTAATCAACGAAGATGGATGGACCAACCTGGAGCACTGGAAGTTCCTTTCTACGAAGAGGCGGGTGCAGTGGGAGCTGGCGTTCAAGGTGACAGTAAACACTTGCGAGCCGCCCACTAGGAGTTGCAGGCATGTTGGTCCCATCATGTTCTTCTGATGCATGCCTGAGCCTTTGCACATGGCTGAAGTGGGCGCAAGGTTGTTTTGTATCAACTATGATCTGTGTTTCTTTGTGTTTGTGTTTGTGCAGATGTGCACCTACGTGTCTCCAAAGAATAGCCGGTGGCTGAGTATTAGGGAGCTTGCCAAACTTGCTCGGGATGTGTCATTTTGGAAAATAGAACGTGCACATCGAATATGACAGAACCCGACCCGAAAGAGCATCAATGCGCCCAGAAGATGGACGGTTCTGGTTGCTTAGAATTCGATCCGATCTTATCATATCTTATCCACTCCCTTTCCACCTTAGGTCGACTTCTTTGGAAGACGCATGCACCGGGAAGAAGGCCTGGCGGGTGGTGTGGATGCACATTGAGTGAACCGCCGGAAATGGGGATGATCTCGCCTACAATAAGATAGTGCAGACATGTCCAGTTGGCCAGCCATTTTGAGAAGGATTTGGTGATGGCTGGTGTGGTTTGTCCATAGTGAGTAGCAACTCGATTTTCTGTTCTTGTCAGTCTTTGCAATGCGATTGCTTTGGCGTGTAGGGGGGTTTGAGTCCATGGGCAGCTGGTTGAGGACAGGGCGTAACTAGGGTGAAACTCAGGCAGGATGTCCACACAGGAAAGCAGCGTAATTTGATTCTGGGAGCAGCCAATTGCTGAATCCGAGGCCCGCTGATGGGGGTTTGACATCTGGTACTGCCCCCAAGGATCAATTTGGGTAAATATGTACTTCGATGTTCTTCATCTTCTTGCGGCATTTGCAGCAAACGCCATGCGCATATGGGGGTGAGTCAGAGGAATGGGGGGCCTCGTACAACGCAAGCATGGACGCAAGCTACTTAACTTGAACAGCCTTGCTGATGTGATTGAAGTTACATGCTATATGCCTATACCTAAGCCAAAATATGCGGCATGGAAGCTTTGGTCCAAGATGATGAGCATTCCGCTCAACGGGAGATGAATCCTCCCTGCACGCCCCTGATGAGCCAAATTGTCAGTCAGGGGAGTGTTTGCCGTGCTTTTAGTGGGTTATGGCTTATGCTTCGTTTGCAGGTGACGATGACAACCATTTCGAGAGGCAGAAGCACTTTGTGGTTTGCCTGGCAAAGGTTTTTGACGCTGACTCGCTGGCTTGTTCAAATGCTGGAGTCTCTCAGTACTCGTACAAGCGTTGCAGGCAAGAGTGCTGCATCTGGCTCGGACAATCCCCTGTCGCAGTTTGAGAATCCGCAGCGGTTATTGAACTAAGATCTCCGGTTCAGTTTGCTGACTTTTGTACTGAGGCTTTGGGTATCCTGCTATATGGCTCGGCATATGTATTTGTAGCGACACGACACGGTGGGGCTGAGAAGCGAAGCAGGGCTGGTGTTGCGATCTGGCTTATAGGACCAATGCCCGCCAGCAGCCGCATCCTTTGTGGCTATGTATTGGAAAGCAATTGGTTTAAGCCGGCCATGACCTGGAGGCTGCCTGCACTTCTCCGTATGTGACACGCTCGATGTTGGATGTTCCCTCCCTCAATCCAGCTTGCTCCTATATCGTTTTCCAGCTAGCACCCGCTTTGACGGCCACAGACTTTCCGAACTGGGGCCAGGTCAAGGTCTTCTGCATGTTCTCAAGCAGCAGCCCCAGGACGTGAGAGCTTGTTGACAGCGTCATAGAAGCACTTTGGCACCAAAGCAACAGGATTGAGCTGGTTCCCAAAGATTCTGCATTTGGCTTCTCATGGTTTCTCCTACACAAGCCATTGCCTCGGATTTGGCATTGTTGCTTAAACCCAGGCCATTTTGGGCTTTACCTTCCGGTGGCACTTGCCAGTGCGTGTTCGCGCCGGCTTTTCCCTTTGCTCATGGTTTTAGGATGAAGAAATGGACTTGCCCCATTGAAACCTGATGGTGCAAGCATTTACCATTCCTCTTCACCCACCCTCCTCAAAGCAGGATGAAACTCTCCTTGAGTCCTCAAAACAAACACGCAGAGACACGCGCATACACACATTGGTCCGCCATGAATCTCAAGATGAATTAGAACCACCATTCTCGAATCCTTGAATCAGGATCATTCCCTGGACATGAGAATTAGACTTTCCACTCCGGCGAGGCGTCTGCTTCCCAGAGTGGCCCCAAGCATTTGCAGGTCAGGACCCCTCCAACCCGTGGACCAACAAGCAGCAAGAGGAGCCTCGCCTTTGGCTGCTCAAGATATTGCCTGCAGGTCTTTAATCATTCAAAGAGAGCAGATTTGAGCTCCGTTGACACACAACCGCGAGTTTTCCTTCAGCGAGAGGTGCGTGAATGGTGTTGCCTGTATTTCTTGTCAACACAAAGAGCTTCATACTTGTTTCAAGGAGGAAGCCACAATTCCTGATAGGGCCTGAGCCAATGCTTTGAGTTGCCGGCCACCCAGAAACAGACATTGCTGCAGATCTAGCTGAGCCTGTGAGATGTGCTTGATTTGGATCCCAGAGGATGGGTATAACTGCCTACTGCAAGATTGAACCGCTTGTTATTAACATATTGGCACGACAGAAGAACCAATTTTCTATATAGCACTTCTTGTATTGAGCTAGGCTCGTTCCAATTCCCAATGCGTGCCAGTCCCTTCAAACAACAACATATCAGTGACCACATTGCATTTCTCTGACATTTGTTACGGAACTGCGCGTGCCCATGATTGCCCTTTCATCAAAAGCCCGAGCTGGCATACCAAAATGAGCGTCTATAGGGAACATACATTGTCCATGTGGGAATGGAGTTTGAGAGGCTGATTTGACAAGGCTTGCAATTCACCCGAATATGAAGTGATGCCAGTCACAGGGTTTAACAAAACCAGAATCGATTTCGAGCGCTGCCCCAAAATGTCTAGTGCTCAAGTAGTGCTAAGCATTTGCTTTGTTAGTAAGCCGTTTGCAAAGGTGCTGATGCTATAGCCTAACTTTTCATTTGTTGAACTTGCGAAGTGCGCCGGAAGCTTCACTCGCAGGACCGGTCTGGCTCGGGCTGTGTCATGATGGTCGAGGGACAGCGGCGGGGGTTCCCAGTCCTCAAGGACTGGAATACTCACAGCGACTCGGGATTGTCTCAAGGTTTGGGAACCTCGTTTTGGTCCCTGGTTGTTGACAGGCAAACCAAAGAAAAGGCATTTGGAGGGGCCCCTCAAATTGACACACACACACACACTCAGCGCAACTCCAGGACCTTGCAGCCAAGCATGCAAACTTTGGGCCAGTTGTACTTTCAGTTGGGGCAATCTTTCCGGCCCAACTGCGGACAGATCCAGACAGATCACGTACGAAGCATCTGAATGAACTGCACCCCTCAGTTGCAGCTACAAGCGGTGTATGAATTCTATGCAAGTGCACGTGTATGCACGCGCGCAATTAGTATGGGCAATCATCCCTTTGGTCGGAATACAATATCCCCTGACAGCTTTGCCGCGGATTGCTGAATCAGGTGTATCCTCACTAATGCCCACGTGGTGGCAGACGCCTCCTACGTCGAGGCTGGAAGTGGTTGCAGAACTGTTCAGCTGGTGTGCCCCATGAGCCAGCTGTCGGGCTTGACGTGCCCCTACTTATGTGAAGTCGAAGCAACATTGCCTTCGTGGAGCAACTCGGTGGCATCAAATCATGTTGTTTGCAGGCCGATACTTTGCAAATGTTGGAACATGTGGAAACATGGCTTGTGTGAGACATGCTTGGCCAAAATGGCATGTGCCATTTTGGCTCAAGCATCCTGAGTATTTGACTCTCTCTTGGAAAAAATCCCTGCTTACGCAACATTCCCGCAATGGCATCCGTGTCTTCAGTGGCCTCGTTTGAGAGGGTTGATGAGCAGCAAGTCACGGAAGAGGAGGTTCGTTTGGCGGAGCAGGAGCTGGAGGCTAACCGTGCTTGTGATGCGGCAGTGCGAGCAGGCCTGTGTTTGGAGGAGTCTTCTGGTCCCAAGCTGGATTCCTTGCCGCAGGCGCTGTCTGATCTGGAGACCTGCTTGGAGTGGCCCTTTGAGGAGAAAGCTCCCTAAGAGGTGCCCCCGGCCCTGGAGGGGAGCGGGCGCCCATGCCTCCGATGGTGCAGGTGCAGGACATCACCATGGAGGACGAGTGGGCCCGGCGCCCTGCCATGCCTGGCATCGGCTTTGTCAAGGCATCCGCCCCGGACCAGGACAAGCGGGACAAGGAGTTGGGGTTGATTCAGGCCACATTGTGGACACGCCGGAGTCCTTCCCACCCATCAGGAGGAGGTCTGGCGAACCCAATTTCAGAGGCCTGGGTGGCCATCCGCGACGACAAGGTCCTGTGTAAGGTGGCCTTTCGGGAGAAGCTGAAGGAGGCCTACCTCGAGGCCATGGAGGAGGCGAACAAGGCGAACCAGGAGGCCAGCAACCGAGCCTGGATGCTGAACCGCTCCCTCCAGCCACTGGAAACCACGGACATGTTAAAGGGCAAGCTCTTCCTGGTGCTGTAACCGACGAAGAAGAAAACCAAGGGGAGCTGCGGATGCACGGGGGCAACTGGCAGCTCTCGTGACCGGAGCGGGTGGGAGACTTCCACCCTCCTTTTGAAGCTGCCCCCCCTTTTGGTGGCGTGCCAGCGGCGCCATCAACCTGGCACACCCACCTCTGCGGGGTCACCTTTTCTTTTCAGATTAGAAGGATGGGTGCTTTCGTTTGGTGTTCCCGTTTGCTTTCTGGTTAGCTGGCTTACCCTTGACCACTTACACAGTTTGTAGATGCGCCAAGAAGGATGGAAGCCTTTGTGATTTGTATTTGGTAGGGATGGCTATTGATGACCATCAACCCTTTGATGAGCAGCTTAGACCAGTCTGAAGTTTGCTACTGAGGCGCGGCAGGAAATGCCCACCCCACAAACATGTTTGCCATCATCATGTGTCAGAGCCATGCCAGGTGAGAAAGGCAGGGAACGCCAAGAAGTTCTGTGCCCGGCCCTTGAGCAACAGCCATCGAGGGAGCTCTTGTGAGATTGCGGTGCTAATTTCCAAATCAGAACCAGGATGCTTTCTGGCATAGTGGGGTTTGCGCCAGCGCGGAACGTGGACTAGTTCATCCTCATGCGTGCTTTTGGGTTTCCGGTAAAATTTTGAATCGTAGAGCTCTGACCGGAACCTGATGAGATTGCAAGCTTTGCTGAGTGTTCCTTGCTTTGCTGCATTCACCTTGCATCCATTTGTCAAACCTGTGGCATTTGCAGCAGTAAATTGTTTCATTTCAGTTTGTTAGACGTGCGTTTGTTTGATTCAACAAGGGATTGATCCCGCTACTTAAGCAGCACATTGGTCAAGAACAAACTGGTGTCGCTCACTTATGACAGACTTGCCCAATTGCTTGTTGCAACTCCAACTTGCCTGTACACCGGGCCTTTGACAGGCAGACTGCGAATCGGCATGATCAATGATCAGCTAGGATGTGCAAGTTCAAGGTTCCCCGTTGTGACGCAGTCAAGGCCAAGATGCATTACAGCGTGTTGTTCAAGGTAGCCCTAGTATGTCATCAGAGTGGCAGGAACAAATGCAAGACTGTGGGTACTGGGGCTCCATCGCCTGCTAAAGCCCTGAACAATGTTCACGAGACCACGACCTTCTGAGACATGCATGCAACATGGCAAACAAGCTGTAATCGCCAGCCAAGATGCGCTCATATTCTCAGTATTTGACGCACCGACGGACCAACAGAAGGCAGGGGTTCCGCTGAGGCAAAGCGACTCAAAATTGCACATGAGTGCGACCTGGCTCTTTTGCGTGCCTTGGCAGCCTGTGGCATTTGTTTTGCGGTAGCAGCCTTTTGCCTCCGCATATGATATAGACTATAGAGCGGATTAGAGCCGTGTGCTGTTTCTGGTGCGACTTCCCACTATCAGATAGTATTGATTAGTCTTGAAGTCCAGGGGCAATGGCCTTTGTGTGTGGGCCGCACTCAAAACAAGCCTTGGGACCTTCACATTTGCGCTTCATTTGAGATGACTTTTGGTCGGGCACTTCATGATTAGGGCTTCACTGTGGATGATCAAGAAAGGCCAGCCCAGAACAAGGAGCGATTGCCGAAGTAACTTTTGTGACTCAAGAGTCGAAACAGATCGAGGTGCGGTCTTTGGGAATTTGTGCGAGCTTGAGCATGTGCTTCTTCTCACTTAGAACTCTAGAAGATACGCGGTGTGCAGACGGATACATGCTCAGCTACAGTGTCGGATTGAGAATGGGGTTATTGCTGCAAGCTTTAAATAGCCGCATAGATCAATTAATTTTGACTGCCGTCCAGAGAGAAGTGGACAGGACATAGTATATACAATGTGAGTGTTCTTGCAGCATTTAACTTTTAGCAGGCCGTAAATTGCATGTCCCAGAACCAGCACAACACCAGCCATCGGTTGTGGCCATGCTGTTGGCCATAGCCGCGGGTGCTGGCGGACTATGCGCTTTGCATTTGCTTTGGAACTACCTGGCCTTCAGCCGCGTGCTCCTTGGACGTTTACCATGGTTATTAGCACTGTGCGCATAGACCTGCCCCCCAGACAATGCCCGTTGTAGCGAGGAGGGTGTCTTGAAGTCAATCTAGGCGAGACAGGCCCGACACCACCAGCCGAATGTTCCAATTCGGGGCTCAATGAGGCTGCAAGGATAGCTATGGAGCAGCAGATGCATTTCACTCTGTGACCTTCAAGCGCTTGCTTGCTTCCTCAATCAGATAACTGTGCAAGTTGAGTTGAGTTTGCTTGCTATCGCTCAAGGGTGATTCTGACTCTAACCTTGCTGATGTATTTGTTGCTATTTTGCGATTTCGATGGAGCTTGTTTTGATGAAGTGGGTTTTCATGTCCAGCTGGGGCTTGAGGAATCTGCATCATTTGTTGGATTGGATGCCTGTTTGACCCGCAAGCCACCATAGATGAACACCACTATCAGGGCTGCCACTAAGGCACAGATATATGAGGGCATAATTGTATTTGTTTGATGCAAGCACACAGGCTTTGTACTTGTATGATTCACGTTTTGTTGGCTCCATTTTGGCTGTTTAGCATAATGCTCACTTGGCCAGCCAGGATTTCATAGCATTTCGTGCTCTAACAAGGAAGGTCCTTTCATGACTGACTTGGGCCCGCGTCATTGCTTGAATCCCCGCCCGCCAATGTCAAGGGAAGCTGTCCTTTCCACCCACCATGCTCAAAACCACTATCAAGGATACATTTTTTATGGAATCTGTTTTCTTGTGTGCACACGGCTGCAGGGACGTTTTTGCTGGAAAGATGACGGCTATCCACCCCATCTTGGGACAGCACAAATGAAGCAGACAGTCTTCAGTCAACCTCAGCAAGTCTATCCAATCAGCCAGCTACTCGTGCCATTATGTGGTAGCAACAAGCAGCAAAAGCAAGATTATACAACTATTTGCAAGACCAGCCAAATGCACTACCCAGTGATACTTCAGCTCCGCATTAGTTGGGGTTAACTGTTAGGTATTGCGTACCCTTGTTGGGCATTACAGTTTGACACATGTTGCGCATATGCCATCACAGCTTTCTGGCTGGCCTGATTTGTTCAAAAGTAATGCAGATGCATTGCGACCCTGCCGGTGAGCAAACGTCAAACTTTTGTGGCAAGCGTCTTCATCATGCTAAAGTCGAAACAGTTGAAGCCTTGCGGAGCAACCCACTTGCATTCAGGTCTATTGCTGGAAAGCACGTGCTCATCACTGGCGGCTCGCAGGGCCTGGGGTGGCTAGGCAAGCAGATGCAGCCCACCATATTTTGCATTCCCTACAGGCATTGACCGGCATTGCAATGTTCTTTGGTCCCATAGCTTTTGAGCTTTTGGTTTCTTTGAAAGCTGGGCCGGCTTTCTCAGATGCTTGGGCCGGCTGTTCAGGAAACATGCGCGTTTGCTCGATGCTGCATTTGAAGCAGCGATGACTGCGGTCATCGTTCTGCGGCCTGCGCTCTGCTGTCTTCGCCATTGTGATGCTCATGCATGCTTGTGCTGGTGCCCGCAGTTTGGCGCTGCTTGCGCGAACTGACGTAGTTTGCATCATCATGCACAAAGGTGGCAGCACCGCAAAGCCGAACAAAGTTAGTCATGCCAGTCTTAGAATAGTATTTCCTTCATCAAATGCACCCTCATGACATGATGTGATGTGTGTCATCATGACGCTATCAGTATGCAGCCGCCTGCATGACAATGCTTCCGTATGTTCTAACCTATGCTTTGTTTTGACAAACTTGGTAGCGTCGCCGTTTGGCTCCCACAATGGTGCAATTTTGGGCTGAGCCAGCCTGTGTGGCATAGATTTCTTCCACTGGAATTTGTGGAAGCTTTCAAGTAGGTCACAATGATGAACATCTAAGATTCCAGGCATTTACGGGGAGAATAACCTTGCCAGACCTGCTCGGTCCCCTGTTGGAGCGCATTTGTAAACGCCAGAACTCCATGCGAGGGCCGTTGGCACATTCCATTTTGCGCTGCAAAGACTTTCGCAAAGGACAGCGAGGACATACTTGGCCCCTTGCAGCAGCCTTTGCAACTGCCCATGCTTCCATAGCTAGTGGCAGTTCAATTGCTTCCCTTCGCGTGATATGACCGGAAGGCAACAAAAACCGGAGCACTGTCAAACTGCCTGTCAGTGCGCCTTTCTTTGTTCGTGTTGTAAAAGGGGTGCTGGATCTCGGCCTTTGCGATTGACGTGGCACCTGCCTGGAGTTTTCAGGCTGGCGCTGGCGAAGCTTTGCTACCTCCGCGGCGCCAAGGTGACCATTGCCTCCAGGACCAAGGCCAAGCTTGAGCCACTTGGATGTGATTCGCATGGCGGAAAGGGGGGTCGCTCTGAAAAAAGGCATCTCGAACTTTGACCTGTTTGTGTCTTTGCTGATACTAAAACCAGTGTTGTTTGGGTGTTTAGGTCTTGTGGGCGAGGGCACATGGAGATCCCATGATCGAAAGGTTGAGGTGCTAGTCTTCTGAAGAGTAATTCCCGTGACCGAGTTATTCTTGATGCTCCGCATGGTGGTTTCCTGGACCTTGCTGGACGAACGTAGGACCTCAAGTGATGCCAGAAATGAAAGATTGATGAAAGGTATGGGAAAGACACACACGTTTTACATGGTGCAGATGCGCAGATCTCAGAGTCATACAGAGGGATGAGGAGAATGCTTGCTGACTTGTTCAAACTGCCGCCTTCGAGGGGTGCGACAGCTGAGACAACTGCTAAGAGAAGTCTACGAGACCTTGCTGGATTGGGGGCAGTCTCTCAGACCCACGCCGTCATTTTTCTTGATGGGGGCACACACCCTCAAGACCATCCAGTCAAATCAAGTGCATTCGATGCAGTTGCGATTCCACCGTAGGCACCTTTGCCATCCTTTGCCAGTATTTTCTGAGTCTAAGACTCGGCTAAGCAAAGCGACAATGGAATTTGCGCATGCGCACCATGCAACAGTTGTTCTGCTTTGTGGCTGCCATCATTGTCCGTTTGGTGAATGCGTGCCAAAGGCCACAATGTGAGAAAACAACATATTATATAACCAGCCTTCACCCAATCTAGGCGTCGGATGCGTTCGCGAACTCAGGCAGGCCTGCAGCGAGATTCGGCAGCTGGCGGGCGTACACGGAGCGGGCATTGGCACGTCGTTCGGAAGGTCAGGTGGGAATCCCCGCGTGGAGGGCAACAGGTGGGCTAGTGGGAACCGCTTTGTCAGAAAAGAGGCTGCCTGCCAGAGCCCCAACCTCTCAAGCTTGTGTGAGGTAGTATTCATTCACAAGGCACAGGTTCGCAGAGCGGCCGATGAAGCGCACGCCATCTGAACCGGGTCAGATTCGTCAGATTTCTAATTTTGAACCCTTTCAATCTGACTGTTTTGTTCGGGTTGCTCCAGCCAATTGGGATTGGTCAGGGTCACCGGGACCGTCTCTGCCATGTGACTGTTGGCAGAGAGTTGCAGGATGATTCCAGCAAATGGCCCACGCTAGTCGCTTGAGGTTCTGCACGGGTACTCAACACCGCAGTCGTTCAAGATCAGCAGCCACAAAGAAAAAAAACCATTCAACAATTCCAGACTGAGGAAATCCAGCAGTTCTGCCCAGCCACTCACCAGGAGCTAAAATCCAATTCGTGATCTTGGATGTGTCCTCCATGCGAAGCCGCTCGGGCAAGTCCAAGTCGCTGCCGCTGTATAGCCGTGGCAAGACCGTTTAGCAAGCTGCACCAACATGATGATCATTTTGAGTCCCGATTCAAGGTTTGATGACTGCCGTGATGAAGCTTTCAAGTGAGTTACGTACTGATGACCTGACCATTGCAGGTCATATCTTGCTTGAAGAGGGCAAGAGGATTTTACTGTAACCACTCGGAACAACATGTTTTCCTAGTTGATAGATATAATACATCGCACACATAGTCTCATCCTGCCCACAGCGCAAAGCAGCAGAATGCATGGACACTCCGTATTTATGCCTACGGTCCGAAAACCGTTTTCCCGTCTGACTGCGCATGTCCAAGCACGCCCGCTCACCATTTCACACACGCCTGCCAAGCAATACACACACCCGCTCAAGCACCCCGGGACGCCGTCCAAATGACAAACACAACAGCTCACGCACGCCCGCTCAGAGCTACGCGGTCAAGCACGCGTGCTCAGCCAATTGACAAGAACACCCTTGCAAGCGTGCCCACTCAGCACTGCATGCACGCCTGCCAAATGACAAGCACACCCGCTCAAGCGCGCACAATCAGAAATGAATATGCGCCTGCCAAAT